GGCAGCACTCATGCAGCCCCAAACCATGATGCTGCCACCACTATACTTGACTGTACGCAAGGGACAGCTGTCTTGGTGCTCTCTCTCAGCATGTGTGGCACCTTGGTAAAGAGCACTAAGACAACTGTCCCTTGCCTACAGTCAAGTATAGTGGTGGCAGCATCATGGTTTGGGGCTGCATGAGTGCTGCCGGCTCTGGGGAGCTCAGTTCATTTAGGGAAACATGAATTCAAGCAGAGCATGATCGCCCCTCTTCAGAAACTGAGCCGCAATGCAGTTTTCCAATATGCTAATGACCCAAAACACATCTCGTTGATGACAACTGCCTTGCTGAGGAAGCTGAAGGTGAAGGTGATGGACTGGCCAAGTATGTATCCAGTCCTAAACTCACCTGTGCACCTGTAGGCCATCCTCAAGCTGAAGGTGGAGGAGCGCAAGGTGTCTTCACATCCATCTGCTTCATGATGTCATCATGGAGGAGTGGGAGAGAATTCCTGAAGCAACCTGTGAGCTCTGGTGAATTCCATGCCCAAAAGGGTTAAGGCAGTGCTAGATAATAATGGTTGGCACACAAAATATTGACACATTAGGCACAATTTGGACATGTTCAATGTGGGGTGTACTAACTTATGTTGCCAGCTGTTGTGATGTTGATGGTTGTGTTTTGAGTAATTTTCAGAGGAAGGTAACTCTATGCTACTATACAAGCTGTACACTGACTACTTTAAGTTAAATCAAAGTGTCATTTCTATAGTGTTGTCCCATGACAAGATATAATGAAATATTTCCAAAAATGGGAGGGGTGTACTCACTTATGTCAGATACTGTATATGGAATACAAAAGGGGGTCCTTAAAATTGTTATCACACAGTCCTCTTAAAGCTGTTTAGCTGCACCATAATCTTGTGCAATTCTCTGCACAGCTCTGTAGCTCTGTAAAAAGTTGACTGTTGTTTTATTATTGTGCTATATGTCAGTGTTTCCTAATCCTGGTCCATAGTAGCTCACAGTTAAACTTAATTCATATATCAATAATCTAAAGTCATCAATTCAATAGCTATGATCCAGGGCCTTCCATATCTGGTGCAAGCAGCTTATGAAAAGTGTGTCAAAGTAACTTTTATATCTGCGGTCGAGATCACCACTAAAACCTGTAAATTTTCTGTATCTCAGCCAACAACATCTGATTACAAATCTAATACTTTGATGTTAATCAAAGTGCTTTAATATGAATGTGTTACAGTTCAAGTATAGTTTAACTTTTACAAAAGTGTTGTCTTTTATGAACTGCTGTAGATTTGTTTGCTGTAAATTAAATTAAATCAGTTACATTTAAATGTTGAATCAGATGACATGTATTAAAGGCAGTTATTAAGGTTTGAATAGGCATATGCAACTCACTTATTATCATTGTTAATATGGCATGTTTTATTAATTCCCCACAAGTGCAGTGCTTTAAGAAAACAAACAAGTCATGATATTGTCTTTGCCATGAATAAAATGTTTTTTTCTTCATATTTTTGGCATTCAAGTATTTATTTAAGAATCTGAAAAAGTGTTTGAAATACAACATCAACATGCTATTCAGAAGCTAAAACTGTATGTGAAATTTTCAATATGTCCAATCCATAACATGTGGCATAAATATGCCGGCATAAGAATCCCTCAATACAATGTAGTAGTGACAATAACAACATAACAGATAATTTCCAGGAGCTAAATATTTTTAAAATTAGTCACTGGCATAGGTACCACAGTTACACATCTCCAGCTGGCAAGGAGGCTCTCAGGAAGAAATGTGATGCACACTGAGCAGTGTTTCTAAAAAGCTACTACTTAAAGCTAAATGATGTACATATTTTTCATCCAATACAATTATGGATAATAATGTGCTTCTCATGACCAATACCAACAAGATAATCATTTCACATTTGTATTTTGAAAAGAAATATTTATATAATGTCATTTGTGCACAACTGAGAGTAACAATGGCCCAGATGTAGTGAACAAAGACAGATGGTTATTAGGGGTGGGAATCTTTGGGCACGTCACGATTCGATTACGATTCGGGGGCTACGATTCGATTATAAAACAATTATTGATGCATCTTTAATTTATGTATATTGATGCACTTTTTCACAACACACGTTTCTTTTTGTCTCACTGAATAAGCATTCAACACTTGCAATTTTTAAAAACAGTGCATTTGTAATAAGAAAGAGTTGAATTCATTTCCATTATATTTTATTAAACATATAAATGGAAATGCTTGCAAACTGGAAAGTAACAACTTCGTTGTACGGAACCAAAGGTAACAACAGGTATCTTAAATCACAAGATAAAATGCGTAGTTAGAGTAAGAAATGATTCGGTGGCGACAGACGTCCACGCATCACATGTAACTGCGTTCCTACCTACCTGCCTTCAACAGTGAGGCCATGGCTTCTGTTTTGGTTTGATGGTAGAGTGTCAGTGAAATAGCGTCAGGATGGGATGGTGTATCTGGGCTCCAGTGTATGCAGCAGTGCTCGAAATCCCTGATTTTCCACGACAGAATAAGGACGCAAATCCTTAGCAATAAATGCCGCGATGGCCTTCGTAATTCCCTTCGCCTTTTCAGATGAGGGTGGCAGCTTTCTAATTGCTTCCTCAATTGTTCTCTGGTCGGTAGCGCCACTAGTTGCCGCAGCAACAACAGCCTGCCGTCTCCCTGACTCCTCCGTCAGGTGGAATCGAGTTACATGGCTTCTCATGTTTGTTGTGTTGCCAAAGTATTTTATTTTAGCATGACACAGCTTACATATAACGTGGCTCTTGTCCAGTTTGCTTCCGCCGTTATCGTTGTAGAAGCCGAAGTATTTCCACACATCTGCTTTTAAATTAGAAGAACCTGTTCAGCTCTCACGGCGAGGTGGGTAGCGGTCACCCATGTTTGTTTTCCTCTGTGCACGTGTCGGCGTGTCTGCTCCAGGTGCGCATCCCAAAGTGTCCCGGAGATGACACGTACCACGCTTCTTAGTTCCGCATTATTTAGAACCTTCTGTATTATGGTGTGTTCCCACCAAACGCGATGAACGCGATTTACTCGCGCGAGTAAATGAAAATTCATCACGCTACTCGCTCGAGTTTGGACGCTGGGCCATAATGTCCCTTGACGCGTTATCGTGTCGCGCGAGTATGGGCCCGCCCATTTTCACTAGATAACAACAATATTACTTCCACCATTTCTTTCTCTCGTCGACCATGGCTGAGATCACCAGGATCGCTGCACTTTACCTGCTCTGGAGGTCCCAGATTCGTCTGAGGGCCAAACGCCGCCGTCGGTTCTGGGTGCATGATACTAGTGATGGGCAAATGAAGCTTTTGTGAAGCACTGAACCACTTGAGCCAATTGTTTAGAAAAATGGTTCATTACTTGAAGCTTCAGTTACAGTGACCTCTCCTGGCGAAGTGCAAGGCTGCAGTCAAATTAGGCAGGCTAGTTGGTGGACGGGAGGCGTTTAATTACACACACACACACACCTCAATGAGCAGTGTTGGGGAAACTACTTTACTTGGGTTCTGAAGCATCTTTGCTTTGATCACCCTTGGATTTAAATGTCTGCTTTGAAAATTGATGCGCACACACACCAGACTGAATATGTTCCATTTACAAATAAAGACTGATGAATGTGTGTATTGTGTTATTGAGGAGAGAGTGCTGGGAAAATATGGCAGAGGTTGGGTGTGCTTTTGTAACTATGGCAGGGGGTGAAAATGTGCTTGTGTAACTATGGCAGGGGGTGATTATGTGTGATGGGGAACACTCAAAGATTTTTATTGAGGTACATTATTTTTTCCACAGTATTTGGATTGAGCCGGTTTCTTTTTTTGCTCACAACTTCTCCACATTTGGAGAATACTCGCTCACAAGGAACAGATGATGCTGGTGTGCATAAAAATTGTTTTGCGAGCTGAAACAGATGAGGGTACACATTTTGATGGTTCATCCAGTAAGCCAGTGGGTCTTCTGATCTTTCCAGTGGTGGATCGGTCATGTACCGCTGCACCTCCACTGTAGCATCTGCTGTGGCATTCCTTCCCCTCCTTGCTTCAGAAGTATCTCTGTCCAGCATTTCCCAAAGGTTAATATCTGAAAGACAAACATGACAGTATTCATCAGTCCTTATTTTGTCCTGCATTTTATCTATTCATATTTATAACATTACCTGTGGATGATGGATTTCCAACATTTGCTGGTGCTGGTTGAGCTGATGTGGAGGGCTGTTGTTCTGTTTGTGTGTCAGGTGGTGTGTGTCTTATTATTTGTGAGCATTCTGCTGTCAGTCGTCTCACTGCTGCCTGTGCCTGTACTTGGTTGTAGAAACCAAAGGTCTTGAATCTTGGATCCAGCAGTGTTGACAGGGTCAGTGCATTTTGGGTCTCCGACGTGTCGAACTTGCTTTGCATCAGTGACGCCATGTTCTCTCCCAGTGTTTTAGCGGTGTTGTGGCTTATTTTTCCCATTGTGTCATACAAATACAACATCAACATTTTTATCATTGGGATGACCTTTGACCCTGACACTCTCTTCTCTTCTGACAGTTCTACTGTTGCCTGGTAAAAGGGGGCAAGCAATTGCAGGCATGCAGTAGCTGTTTCGTAGTCCTCAGAGGACAGAGGTCTCACGTCTGTTCTCAGCGTCGCAAGAGCTGCTCCCACTGACTGTCTCTCTTCAAAAAGGCGTTGCAGCATGAGGAAGGTGCTGTTCCAGCGTGTGTCCACCTCCTGAATCAGCTTCTTCACTGGACGATTCATCTGCTCCTGCACTTCTCTGAGCTTCTCTTTTGCTGTTGTGCTGGTTTTGAAGAAACTCACCACTTTTCGTGCCCTTGTGCGTAGGTCTTCTAGGCCAGGAGTTGCATCAAGTGACTTCTTCACCACTAAATTTAGTGCATGCGCAAAGCAAATTGCATGTCTTAGATTTAGAATTCTGACAGAGGCAACCATATTAGCTCCTGCATCGGTCACAATTGAGGTCACTTTGCCTTCAATGCCCCATTCCTCCATGAGAGACCTCGTTGCAGCAGTGATGTTAGCAGCTGTATGAGTTTCAGGGAAAGGCAGCACTCCCAAAAGCACTGTGGCCAGCTTCACAGAGTCATCCACATAATGGCTGGTCACTGCTAGATATGCATCCATATTAATGGAGGTCCACATATCAGCAGTCAGGCTCACAGCCTCTACCTTCTGCATGACAGCCTTGGCCTTGGTCTTCTCCTCCTCATATCTCTGGACCACCATGTTCTTTAGAGCCCGTCTGGATGGAAGAGTGTATGTGGGATCAAGCAATGCCACAAACTCCTTGAAGCCACAGTCATCCACGATGGAAAAAGGCTGCGAGTCTTTCACCACCATATTGACAAGAGCCTCATCTAGCTCTCGCTTCCGGTCCACTAAGACAAATAAATAAAGACATAAAGAAATAAAAAGAAAATGAATAAAAGAAAATAAGGATTTATGTGAAATTGCATTTAAATGAAGCAGGCCTATGAGTCATGGAATACAGTCATATCATATTGTGTTAGTGTGTCTAATTAATAATAATATAATATAGCCTACCTTGATTTGTGTTCCCCTGGTTAGTAGCTCCATGCTTGGCAGTGAAGTGCCTAATCATGGAGGAAGTATTCCCATGATACTTCAGTTCAGTTGAACACACCAAGCACCGGACCTGTAGAGAAAGCCATTTGTAAATAAAAATGCAACTTTAGTCTATAAAGCTATAGCCTAATGGCTACACTAATCATATACATCATTTTACTGTGATGCTAAGTTACTTAATATAGACTTTAGATACAGCATACAGTAGCTATAGTAGTACCGTACTGACAGCTACTGTTGTAAGTTATAACTTTACTTTTCCTACGTTACATATTAAACATAAAGCACACCTACCTTATCAGGAGCGATCAGATTGAAGTGTTCCCACATGTCAGAACGACCTCTCTTCCTGGCTGGCTCCATAATGATCCAATACAAACGAACGCAATACCAACAACTCAACAGCAATAACACACCAACTACGACAACCCACAAATTGTGCATTGTTTCGAGCAGTTTTAACAGTGTTGTGGCGCTCAAATTCAAAACTGTCACAACCTGTCAGCGGTCAGAATCGAGACGAGGCGGTGCCAGTGAATCACCTGATTGGACCGCAAACCAGTCAGGTGATTTATTCAGGCAACGAAGCAGTTGCTGCTTCGGACGTCATATGTCACGTGATTTTTTCCGCACCAAAGCAAGTTTTGAAGCAGTGGTTTGTAGTCCAGGGTTTGAAGAACGTATCGAAGCTTCAGTGTCGCACTGCCATCACTACATGATACCCTGTGGAGGCGCACTGAGCTCGGCTAGTTCCACCGTCTCCTACAGGAGCTCCGCCTGGATGACGGTCGGTTCCAGCGGTACTTCAGGCTGACTCAGGCCCAGTTTGAGGACCTGTTGGCAAGGGTTGGCGCCAGGATCTCCCGCCTGGATACCAACTACAGGCGCTCCATTCCAGCTGCGGAGCGCCTGTCCATCTGTCTCCGGTGAGTTGCAGTTCATTGGTGTTTCAAAATCAATAAATATTCACTGTATCTAGCAAGACACTGACCGGGAAAGGACCGGTTTAGGAGGAGGAGGAGGTTTAGCTGCTGCTCTGCTGAGAACTGGTGCTTCATAGCCGGCCGTAACTTGAGGTGCGAGCCTCGTTGTTGATGTGCGCGTGTGTACAAAACTTTATTTATAATGTATGAATAAATTCTAGCTTTTGACCTGCTTGTCATGTTTTTAAATAGCTTTTTAATTAGCTCTTGTTTTAGCCACTGCAATAAAGCAAAAGTGCAACTTCAGGAATTTCATATGTGTAGCCATATCAATATATTATTATTTTTTTGTGTCTTTTTGGTTGTGTTTTGTATTTTGAGTCTTGTGAGTATGAATGTAATGTGATTGTGTATTTTCTGTATTGAAGTATTGTGAAATGATTTCTGTACAGTAGCTAATGGGGATCTAAATAAACTATAAACTGTCACCTACAGCATTCGCTACAACTCAGCTAAATTAAATGTTTTCTATGGTGCAGATACCTGGCCACTGGTGACTCCTACAGGACCGGCTGACGTGGTCTCCGCCATTTGGGACTGCCTTGTGGGGGAGTTCATGGCTGTGCCCACCACAGAGGAGTGGAGGTCCATCGCGGAGGGGTTTGAGGAGCGGTGGAACTTTCCTCTCTGCTGTGGCGCTGTGGATGGGAAGCACGTGAGGGTTCAAGCCCCTGAGAACACAGGATCCCAGTTTTTTAATTACAAGGGGTCATTTTCCATTGTTCTCTTGGCTGTCGTGGATGCCAGGTATTGCTTCCGAGTGATTGATGTCGGGGGCTACGGGAGGACGAGCGATGGTGGCATCCTGGCCAACTCAGCCTTTGGTCAGGCACTTCGCTCTGGCACCCTCCATCTGCCTGCTGACCATATGTTACCTGGAGCTGACCACAGAGGACCCCAGCCACACGTCTTTGTGGCTGATGAGGCTTTTCCACTCCGGAGAAACCTCATGAGGCCATTCCCTGGGCGCACTCTTCCTCGAGACCGTCGGCTGTTCAATTACCGTCTGTCCCGGGCACAGCTGGTGGTGGAGAACGCCTTTGGGATCCTGGCATCTCAGTGGAGGATGTACCGACGTGCTCTCGAGGTCCATCCAGATGTTGTCGAGAGGTGCGTGAGGGCGACCTGTGTGCTCCACAACTTCCTGAGGAAGACAACCCCTACGCCTGCGATGAGGGGCAGCATCCCAGGTGGTGACGTGGAGCCGCTGCCAGGTCTGGGCAGAGTTGCAGCAAACAACTCTGCAAGAGAGGCCATCAGGGTTCGGGAGACCTTCACAGCGTACTTCTCCGCAGAGGGAACGGTCCCGTGGCAAGCCAACGTTTAGTGCACAAGCACTCCTACAACGGCTCTTTTAAGAGCCACCCACATATTACTATTGAGCAAACATCCCACAGTATTACTATATTGACATTAAAATTGAAATAAAAATGAAATGAATGAATGTATATAAGCACCAAAAATAATATGCCTGTTCATGCATGCTAGGTTATCAATTGATATCATATTGTGAGATAATAAAGCTTTAATTTGGCATATCTACACTGCAACATAAAACAATAAACACCAAAATAAAAGCAGACATCACCAATATGCTGACTATCATATCAATGGTGCTATCTGGTATTACTGTAGACACAAATATACCATTTAAAATTTTAATTTAGTGAAGGACAACATGTCCATTTGATTTCTAGAACTGGTACTTTTTCTGTAGTAGCTGTGTATCCTGCACAATTCAGTTGTCCTACAGTATACATTATGCACTATATCCAGTGCAGATGTTGTGACTCAATATGACAACATTTAGCAGCAACACAAACAAAACCACCTATAAACAGTAAGTAAATAATCAAAAGCAATTTGGAACATGTCACATGTACTTACTATTTTATGTATTTAAATGTATATATTGTTTTACTGATGAGGTAACAGTCTGTTAACTCTTCCTATATACATTTATTTTATCTCCTTTTATAGACAGAACAGATTAGGTTTGCTCAATTATAAACAGAACAAATTAGGTTTGCTCAATTATGTAAAAAAATAATATTAATAAAAAAAAAACGACAAAATGTGTGGAACATATGTACAGTTACAGTATATACAGTGGCTCTATGTGAAGAGCCTCAGGGACACCTGGGATTATTCCTCAAAAGCCTGGTTCGTTCCCTGCAAAGATTGTTGCCCCAGTAGCTAATAAGCTATTCAGCAGGCTCCAAATTAAGCAGAACAGTGCTAGATTCATAAACAAGTTTATGAATTTGGAATTTAACATATTCCTTCCTTTGGGGCGACAATCTTTGAAGGGAAGGAACCAGGCTTTTGAGGAATAATTCATCCTCTGAGGGGGGAGGTTGAGGGGCAGGAGGGCTCCGACGGAGGGATTCCAGGAGAAGCCGCTCAATCTGTGCCTGCCTGTCTTGCTCATCCACCCCCCTGGCTCTCTTCCTGGTCCTTCTCGTCACTGTATAAAATGGACACATCGTATTTTGTGAAACTACTGCATCCAATCAATGCAAAAGATGACAATATCCAAGTTAATATTTGTTAAACTATTGAAATCAGGCAACAGACAAAAAGATATGAGTCAAACATGAAAGGTAATCAATACAGTACTTGTCATAGTGTCACAGTACACTTAATGAAAAAAATATACTCGTACCATAAAAAATGCAATCCAACTTTTGTCATGTACATACCGTTGGGTGGTCTTGCAGCAGCAGGGACAGCAGCAAGACCAGCAGCAGGACCAGCAGGGACAGCAGCAGCAGGGACAACATCATCGCTATCTGCCTCACTTTCAGAGGACAGATATCGTGGCTGGTCTGTAGTAGTGACAGAGATGTCTTAGTTTTTTGTTTAATACATACAGTATATTAATTGTCTACGTCATTCTAACTTTCAGTGTCAATTACAGCACATAAAGCATTTAATGCACCCATTAATACATCATACAGTTCCACTCATAGTAATATCTAACCCTGAATTGCAGTGGGCCCTTAATGTACAGAAAGAAATGATCCCAGACTTACTAACTTCTAGTGTTTTTATGTTCTTCAATTGGGTTGTTCTATCCATTCTTCACATTTTGAATTGCAGGTTTGGTGTTCGTTAGGTGAGAGTACATATTAGTTTGGGGTATTTTCACATTTTATTTAGTGCAGTTATTTAGTGCAGGCTGTGAAAAGAAATCTGTCTGTAATGTTACTGAGACATCTATACAAGTCAGTTATCCATTTATACAAAAAAACATTTTCAATACTGTACGTGTGTGCTTCTTCATTTGTAAACAAACCTCCGATATCAATCCCTGATGGGCCTGCTACTGTCTCTCCCTCGTCCTCCAGCTCGACTGGCCCTGCTCCAGACTCTGTCTCATAGTCTGCGGTCCTATCTTCCTCGACCCGACCCATGTTCCCGCTCGTCTCCCTCGGTGCAACAAAGGGGTCGAGGAAAGATAGGACCGCAAAGTACCTCCATTTCTTCCCTGTCCCTGCTGCTGCCCCACTCCTTTTCTCTGTCTCCTTTTTCCTTTCTCTTAAATAGGTGTCCCTGAGGCTCTTCCGTTTTCTCCGGCAAACATCCACTGACAAAAAAACACACGTAAATTAACTGGTCAATCTAGTAAGCCAGACAAGTAACTTTAACGTTATGCCGGGAAAGCCAGCTATGCTAAGTAGGGCTTTGCTAGTGCTAACGTTCATAGTACAGTACAACCGATAGCTGCAAACAAGCAACAGATATTTACAGAACTTACCAGGTAATCCAGCCTCCTCGCTCACCTTCACCCAGGCCTGCTCCTTCCTGCTCCTGTCCCTGTACAATACCATTGTGGTGTCATACAGTTCGGGGTGTCCGCACACCGCTACTATAAGCTTGTCCTCCACATTTGACTGGCACCAGGCAGGGCGCGAGAACATCAGGACGTCAGTGACA